TTTCTTTCTTTCTTTCTTTCTTCCTTCCTTCCTTCCTTCCTTCCTTCCTTCCTTCCTTCCTTCCTTCCTTCCTTCCTTTCTTTCTTTCTTTCTTTCTTTTTCTTTCTTTCTTTCTTTCTTTCTCTTTTAGGGGTTTTCCGACAGAAGTCAGAAAACCTGCTAGACAAATTCTAAAAGAGCTGTAACACTCACAATGACATTTCATTCCTCCCGTACCAGCGGATCTTCCGCCCAAGAGCACTGAGCACAAGGACAAATGTGGGGACTTCCGGAGTCCTTGTCCTGCTAGCCTTGGCTGCTGTTGAACTGAAAAAGCTGAGGTCCAGCTAGGTGGAGCTGGACAACTCGGGGCTGGTGATTTCAAACCCATGGAGAGGGGAGGGAGGTTTGGAGGTGGTGTTTGTTGGGAAAGGCTGGATCGGAGTTCTGGTTGGGGCTGACACGGTCATGTCCCAGCCTCCATGTAGCAAACATCTAGTAGCTGAAGCCTGCCATAAGGACAGCTGGGTCCCCTCACCTCCACCCCTAGAGTAACAACATTCAGTCTCAAGGGGTATGCTAGTTGGCTTTTGTCAACTTTACACACACCCGCACTCATCTGAGAAGAGGAAATCTTCAACTGAGAATATGCCCCCATAAGATTGGCCTGTAAGCAAGTCTGTGGGCATTTCTTAACTAGTGAATGAAGCGTGATCCTAATTAGTCTTATCAATAAAAACCAGGAGTCAAATATCGGAGTAATAACTGGAAAGATCAGAGAAGTAAAGGAGCAGCCACCAGTGACTTCTTACCTCTCCAGATCCTCAGACTGAAAGGGGACCTGGGATCCTGTCTCCACCTGCCTTATATTCCTGTCTCCACCTCCCGAGTGCTGAGATTAAAGGCCTGAGCCTCCCAAGTGCTGGGATTAAAGATGTCAGCCACCACTGCCTGGCCTCTATGGTTAACTAGTGGCTAGCTCTGCCCTCTGACCTCCAGGCAAGCTTTGTTAGAACACAAACAAAACATCACACAAGTGAATGATGTGGGAGGACCCTGACCATTGTGGGTGGTGGCACCCCTGGGCAGGTGGTCCTGGAGGGCAAAAGCAAGCAGGTTAAACAAGCCAGTCATGTTCCTTCATGGCCCCTGCTTCGGTTCTTGCCTTGATTTCCTTGATTTTTCTTCCTTTAGTTTTTTTCTGATTTCCTTCAATGCTAGACTGTGACATGGAACTGTAAACTGAAACAAATCCTCTCCTCCCCAAGTTGCTTTTAGATACAGTGTTTTATCACAGTAATAGAAATCCTAACTAAGGCAAAGGGAAAGCTGGACTGCTGAGTCATCTGAATATGTGTTAGTGTAAATTTACTATAAGACAAGTGTGCTTGCCATGAGTAGGTACACCTTCAATTTCCAGAACTCAGGAGACAGAGGCAGAAAGACCCTAAGTTTGAGGCCAGCCTGGACTACATGAAGAGATTCTGGCTCAAAAGACAGGCACTGGAGCATGTGCGAGGACACTGCAGCCCCCCCCCCCAGGTTCTTTCACCTGGGTACAGATGAAAGTCTACCAGTTCCAGCCATGCCCAGGGGTCCCCCTCCTGGGTCTCAAGTGATGTCCCAGATCCTGAGAATCTGGAACAGTTCAACAGGAATTTATCCTGACCAACCTTGATTGCGGAAGTTGATGAAATCCACAATTCTGTAAAACATTGGACTTACCTGAGACACATCACTTCCTTCTCTCGGACCCTAGTTTCTCACCGATAAAACATGGGGAGACATAAAGCTATCCTGGAACATGCCAGAAATGCTAGCTTAGAAATAAAACCCTGCTGGAAACAGTGCAGCTGTTAAAATGATGCTGAACAGATTTAGGAAAGAAAAAAAAATAGTCTTGTCTCCTGAGTCCCTTGAAGACACTTATAATCAAGTATGAAACTGTTTAGGGGAGAGGCACAGTTAATCTGGACCCTAAACAGTGCTCCCGCAGTAGTAATCCCTGACACAACACTCCAGGGAGCTATCCAAATGTCCCAGCACAGTCGCCTGGTGATAGCTTCCTCTGCACGACCCCAAGCATCCTGAAACGCAGGTGAGCTGCATGGTATTTGTCAATAAATAATTATTCATATCACAGCTAATTAGTAGCCGCCAATAGAGCAAAAAAGAAGAGTTATAGTTTGCCATCTGATTTCCTGAAAGTTGTATGTATATACATACCGATGTAATATATAAAATTACATACATACATATAATCATTTTGAGTTCCATAATTTTAGATTGAAAAACTTTTTTTTAATCCACTTATTTTGTGTAAGCATGTGTGCACATGTGCGTGCATGTATGCATGCCATGGTACATTTTTGTGGAGGTCAGAGGGACGATACATTGGAGTTGGTTTTGTTCTTCCGTGTGGGCTCCAGGGCCTGGACTCGCGTCATGGGTCTCAGCAGCAAGTGCTTTCGCCCAGTGAGCCATCTTGTTGGCTCTTGAGTTCTGTAACTTGGGGTGGCACCGGGTTAGAGGGAGTTTTGAACTGGCCACTTCCGAAAACTGGGCATTTCACAGGCAAGCAAATGGGCAACATCAGAGGTTGCCGGCTTCTTCAGACAGAAGCGCGTTGGGTCCGCTGCTGTCCTCACGCACCGTACTTCGCATTTCCATTGAAGTTTGAACTACCGAACCATTCTCATTACTGACTCCTACCTCAGGTAATACCAAAGAATGGGGAGGGAGACCCCGTGGTCTAGATTAGGGTTCAGAAATTTAGTATTCATCCTCGATTTCACGGAGTCATACTTGTTGGTTCTGAAATGCATTCTAGTCGCAGGGCTTTCATTGCGGTAATCGTACTTTTTAAAGATTCGTGGTTTTTTTGTTTTTTTGTTTTTTGGTTTTTCGAGACAGGGTTTCCTCTGTGTAGCTTTGCGCCTTTCCTGGAGCTCACTTGGTAGCCCAGGCTGGCCTTGAACTCACAGAGATCCGCCTGGCTTTGCTGGGATTAAAGGCGTGCGCCTAAAAGATTCGTTTTTAACTGTGCGTGCCTCTGTGTAGGCACATGCGTAAGGGTGCAGGTGCCCACAGAGGCCAGAAGAGGGCACCGGGCCACCCAGAAGTGGAGTTACAGACAGCCCTGAGCTGCCTGCCGACATGGGTGCTGGGCACCGAACTTGGGTTCTCTGCAAGGGCAGTACCCGCTCCTAACTGTGGAGCCGTCTCTCCAGCCCCAGCCACAGGCGCTGCTCCTCTGGTAACTATGGACGTCCTCGACTAAAGGAAAGGCGCTTACTTCCCCATGGTAACGGCAGCAACAACTAAACTCCCCGCCGAACCAGAACCCCATGCAAACAGAACCCCATGCAAACAGAACCCCATGCAAACAGCGGCAACAAGCAGCATGTGGCTCCCTAAAGCACTGGAAAGTTTCCAGGGATCTGCTTGCTGTTACCGCTCCCTACAAATGTGGGACTGAGCATGAGGCACAGTACACCAGAGCTTTAGAAAGAGGGGTGAGAGCCAGCAGGGGGTCCCTGTCTCTCAGCATCTTCTCTGGTCCAATCTCTGGGTAACTGAGGAAAAGGCCCTTAGTGAGGGCAGCTGTGTCTAGTGAGTGAGGAACCCTGAGGAAGCGGGGGTCGGGGGGGTGCGGTAAGTGGTAGCACACACTGACTTCAATGGGATCATTACCTGTTTGCTCCTGGAAGCTTCCATAGGCATCTGAATGATCTCTCCTGGTCACTGTGTATCTAATTTCAAGGAGTTAAAATATTCCCTTGGGAGGCAATTCCACAGCAGCCCCTACAACCAGTGGGTAGATCTGATTGTTCATAAATAGGTGACCTTGGACACACATTTCTTTTTTCCTTTTTTCTTTTCCCTTCCTTCCTTCCTTCCTTCCTTCCTTCCTTCCTTCCTTCCTTCCTTCCTTCCTT